AAACACACATCTTATCCGTACATTGACATTTTTAAAAAGACACATGTGTTATTCGCATTCGTATAGTTAATGTAGGCATGTACTATATTTGCATTCATATAGTTAAAAATACACATGTTACTTGTGTATTCACATAATTAAAAACACATATGTTACTCGTGCATTCCTATTGTTAAGAGTACACGTGTGACTCGTACATTTTAATGGCTAAAAACAAACATGTTACCCGTAAATTTGCATGAGACGTTATTTTATAGTCATATGATTAAGAACACACATTACATGTAAGGAAGATTGCTAATCAGAATATGAGTTTAGGGAAAATTAAGTCATATAAGAGTTGATTTAGGGAAATAAAGGAAGATTTTTGGAGGGAAAAAATATGAGAATAAATGTGTATAATAATATTTTTATGAAATCATTAATGATCATTAGGTATAATAATTATATTCATTCTAATTGAATTATTCATAAATATTCCAGAATGGTAATAGTGATGAATGTTGATTTTAAACATATGTACATGGTGATTAATAGAAATTAATATATAAGAAATGTGCATAATAATAAGATAATAGAATTGATAATCGGAGTATGAGATATTTATAGAATTACTTTCATACCACATCATAACACCGATATTTTACAATTATTACAAACACTTTTTGCTTACAATCTCATGATTCTTTTTCTTCTATCTCATGATTCTTTTTCTTCTTCTTAGGTAACATTACATCATACTTTAATTTTCTTCATTTCTCATTCTATGTTTTTTAAGATTCTGACTTTGTGATTTTTGTTAGAGAGATTCATCATTTTCGGGATAATGTGGATGAAAATTTAAAGAATTATTTTTCTTTTTACATAATCAAACCGCAATTTCCTATAGGTAATGGTAATTGTATATGTGCGTAATAGGATAATCTTATAATCTCATGATTCTTTTTCTTCTTCTTAGGTAACATTATATTACATTTTACTTTAATTTTCTTCATTTCTCATTCAAAGTTTTTCATTATTCTGACTTTGTGATTTTTGTTACAAAGAGTTCATCATTTTTGGGATAATGTGGATGAGAATTTAAAGAATTATTTTTGTTTTACATAATCAAACAGCATAATAGGATATGAATTATTTTCCCCCCTAAACTCATATATCTTTAATATAAATTAATATAAGAATATTATAATGAATGTGCATAATAATAGTATAATAGAATTGCTAATCAGAATATGATTTTAGGGAAAATGAAGAAATATAAGAATTGATTTAGTGAAAATGAAGAAAGATTTTTGGATGAAAAATGAATATGAGAATATTTGAACATGATTAAGTGTTTGGTAGAAAAAATGAAGGATTAATAAATGTGACATGCATGTATCATTTTGATGTATGATATGAGAAATGACATGCATGTGTCATTTTGATGTATGATATGAATGTAGATGGTAATGATACAATGTGGGACTATGAATGGTAGTTGATGGTTTGATGTATGATATGAATGTAGATGACAATGATACAATGTGAGACTATGCATGGTAGTTGGTGAGAGTGTTTAGGTGGGAAAACTTTGCATGAGAAGATGAAATGTGTCCAAAACTAATAATGGAGAACATTTTTTTCTTATAGTATAATAGATATCTTCAAACGATCACAATAAATATCAAAACCTCAATGTGCATCTCAATGTTATTAATATCGTAACAGTCATCAAACCGATATAGGTAATGGTATAATAGTATAGTAGTTCAACCGGTGATTCACTAATTAAACTGCGGTAAAGTTAGATATACATATATAATATAATAACATTAATGTTGAAAAATCAATAAAAACAATAATTTTTTTATTTTCATTAAAAGAATTATTTTTAAATAAAAATCGACCGGTTTGACGAGTACAGTTTCATTGAAAATGGCCCATATGACCAGTTTTGACCGGTATAATTATTATACTGTACCGGTATCAGAATCAATTCAATGGTTCAACCGAGCGGTACGAAACAATTTTTACAATGAATGCATCTATTTAGAATGCAAAGTCATTAGTGTGCTATAGGGAAATCAGTTGACCTATACTACTTTTAGAAAGAACTCTTAGTTACTAAAAACAAATCAAATATCGAATCAATTTTTATATTAGTCTTTTACGTAATCACCAAAACATACTAGCTTATTACGTCGTATATGACATGTAAAAATTATGTGGATAGTGTAATCTGACTACACTATTCCACCATTGGTGCACCTTCAAAAATAATTAATGAAGTAGTGTAATTTTTAGGATGTTGTGACTGCCATTTACGACTTACAAATCTCATGAACCAGGAATGTAATTTTATGCTGCATTCTCGTGGACCTGGTTCACGAGATTGATGACCTGAATACAAATTTCGTGTACGTGAAACACGACTTACATAGTATTTATTTAAAGTTTTACGGTTTTAAATGTGTAGGTTAAGGTTTTAGTGTTTATTTTTTTTAAATAAATTTAATTAAGTAATATTTGAAAATAATTTTAATGCATGCTTTTGGAAAATTGCACCAGTTTTGATAGTTGAACCAGTGCTCTTCTTAATGATTATAACAATGGACGGTTAGATTTCTAATATACAAATTGTTGCCACACTTTACATTTTTTCCATTCAGCTTCTTCTGCATCCTAAACAAACTTTATTTGTTACTTCATTTAGACTTGCTTTTATGTGAGAAAGATTTCTAAAATACAAACTTTCATCTTTGTCCGTTATCACTTAGTGAAAAAATAAAAACTCTCATGATAAACTTTAGTTGGAAACACTATTATATTGTAATAGTAATATGATATTTCATAATAAAAAAATTTCAACTTAATTTACACTGGCTTTTATGTGAGAAAGATTTCTAAAATTTTAGATAAAAAAATTCAAAGATGGTATATTTAACAAAATAAAAAGTGGATGGTGCTGTTTTGCCTGTTTTAGAAAATTGCACAGTTTTTGGTAGTTGATCTGGTGAATATTAATGTAATTAATGTAGTTGAACCGGTGCAGGCTTTGTAATTAATGTATAATAATTAATATTCCCGCTTGCCTAGCCTGCTGGAATCTCGTACAGCGGTTTTGAAAAATTGAGCCGGTGCTAATGTGCTATAAATATTAATGTACATAATTATTATATATAATTAATGAATACATATAATTAATATGTGCAGTAATTATATATATAATTAATGTTATAATTAAATGTATCTCATCAATATAGTGCATTAATTGTTATGTCTATATGTATTAATGTATATATTTATTATTTTGCATTAATTATTATTTGAATTAATTATATATATTTATTATTTTCATTAATTATATATATTAATAGAACCGGTTCAGGTGCAATTTTCCAAAAGCCTGCAATAAAATTATTTTCAAATATTACAGCAGGAAATTCTTATATATGCTAGGTCGACGAGAATGAATCTCGTGAACCAGGTTGACTACACATCCACGTAATTTTCCCTATATGACCCTTTCAAAATCCAATATATTTCAAATATTACATTCTCACTTAATCCCAAAGACTATTACATAACTTTCTCTTCAATCCAATTACTTTTAAGGTACAACCAAATGAGTCAATTACTTCAAGGAAATTTATTTAAAAAATTACATTTTCACTTCAAACCAATTAATTTTAAGGTGCATTCTCACTAAATGCCAAAGAGTATTACATAACTTTCTCTTTCAAACTAGGTATCAAAACGGGCTACCGGGGAGTTCGGGCTAAACCGGGTCGGGTAAAAAAGCTTGGATACAATTTATGTATATTAAAATGTAACCAAAGCCCGTCCTATGCAAGTTGTGCCGGCCCACATAATATAAAAAAAAATCATTTAAATTTTAACATATTTAATATATATATATATATATATATATATATATATATATATATATATATATATATATATCATTTGATATTAATGTATAAATTTTTTTAATGTTATACTCAATGCAATCAAACTTATAGATATAATGTTATGTGTTTGAGCTAAGACATAATATTAAGTAATATGATTCATAACATAATTCATTCATTAAATATTTTATTTATATTAGACTCTCAATCTCTAACATAATATAATTTATAACTTCAATTAAATATAATAAATGGATACAGGACAAAATAATATCACTTAAGTAATAATAATAATAATAATATGAATATCTTTTGTATACTCTTTATCAATATTTTCTCTGTGAGTTAAATTTGATTGTATTGAGTTCTCTACAATAAAAATTATTTTCTTTATTATGTTTTGTTGTATAAGTTAAATCTAATTAAATATACAATTTAAAAAAATAGAATCTATATGATTTAATTTTCTCATTAATTTAATATACTATTTTGCTAATGTGCTTAAAATGATATTAAACAAAATATGAAAAATTAACTATAACATTATTGTAATTTATAAATATTTATATTATAAATATTACTATATTTTTTATTCAAAGTGAATAATACAATATTTAGTATATATTATTTATTTTTTTATCATAAGTTATTTTGTAAAATAATTTTCATCGTAAGAGAAAGCGAGTAAACCCGACCCGAGTTCGATTTTAATATAGTCCGGTCAAGTCAGGCTAAAAAAATCGGATTCATTAAAAAATGCCAAATTTAATACACATGTCCTACAAAAATTCGAGGTGTGGCAGGCCAGCACGCATGAACCCGCCCATTTAACACCTCTACTTCAAACCAATTTATTTCAAAAATTACATTTTCATTTCAAACCAATCAATTTTAAGTTACAATCCTAAACGATTTGGCACCCAAAAAGGCCAATATTTTTATGCCAACATTGTTCAAATGATGCAGAGACACTGATAACTTTATATTCACCCTCAACAGTGGACTGAAGGCCTATTTTTGTTACAGAATTACAAAATCTATAACAAAACTGAATAAAACAAAAGCAACATAAATAATACATGAAAAATGTTACAATTGAAAGGAAGATATAAGCTTCCGTCAGCCAGAAATTCACCTCAGATAAGTTCAGACGTTAATTCCAATTTAGATAAATCTTCACAGGCTTTAGAAAATATAAAAATAAATTGATATTATAGTAATGAAAAAATGTAATCGCACAAAACGGCTCCATGGATCGAAAGAAAAACAAAATCCACAGATTCCTATCAAGATGCGAAACAATAAACTCTTGATTTTGGTTCAATCATAGCATCGTTGGTCATTGCAAACATAGCTACCATCGACGTGGCATCGAACCTAAGTAAATAACCTAATAAATAAATAAATAAATAAATAAATAAAAACCTCAGATTCCCTTCTCAAATCACACACAACGAAGAACCATTGGAACCAAAACGAATCTCACGACTGAATAGCAAATCACAAAACGAACAAATCGAGATGGATTTGAAATTAGTAGATGAGAACGATTGTGGGACCGTGATTACATACGCTGTTGTATAGTGTCATACGGCACTTCCTATCTATTTGGGTTATCTTCTTCATTGGGATCAGATTTATGTAACAATAGTGAAATCAGAAAGATAAAAAAGGAAATAAGAAGAGGAAGCTACACCTATTGCATCCACAGTGAGTAGAATATGAAAAACTAGGGTTTGAGAGTGTGATATTTATAGGCATGTTCGCCGTTTGAGGGAAAGAGTATTGAAGACGAATTGAAATGCAAGCATCAAGATGGATTTTGGGCCTTTGTCTGAGCCCTACCCGAACCCGCTTATCTTTTTTTTATATCATCATTAAGCCCTCTTCCTTATGGACTTGGTTCAAGGTATATATTTTTTATTCTCGGAATCACATTCTCAATAATAATATTATTAGTAATGTAATTATTATATATGCTAAAATGTATATTTGATTGACATTTATATTGATTGAGAGTCTTTATTAACATTCATATGAATAACTCGAAAGTTTGTTCGTTTATGATGTATATTCCTAAACATTAGCAAGCAACATTGGTACAATTGGAAATTGCAAATTTAGATGTGGGTGTGAAACATCCACAATATATTTCACAAGAATAAGAAAGCAATGAGACATGGGAGAATATTTCTTCACTACTTGAAAGAAACATATTTATATATTATTCTCATTAATATATTTCAATATGTGACCTCAAGATCACATGCATTTTCTTCTTTTTTCCCATATGTGACCTTATGTATTATTTCAATTATTAGGGGTGGGTATTGGATGTTCATTTTTTTACTCAGATACTAAATGATATTTTGTTTACTCTCAAATAGTAAATTATCAACTGTGCAAAAAAAGTCGGAGGGTGGGAAAAGTTGAGAAGCTCTTTTTTGCTTTACATTCCCTTGGAAGCAAACAGAGTAACAGACTTTATTAAAATAAATAATGTAATCCATAACTATGGAAATTGACTCATCACAAGAATTAAATATTGCAAAAACCATTCATTATTTATGGTTATAATCAATCAAGTGTATTTAACAACAATCAAATTATCACATGACTTCAACAAGCTTCTAAGTCTCCCTATCTTAGATATAGGCATATAGCTTTGCTTTAAAGCTAATTCTAAAGTTCTAACTAGTCTAATGAGTACAGGAGTGCCACTGAAAACTGTTAGCAGTCAGTGAAAGCTAGCCTTCAACATTCCAGGATCCACTACCAGACCCATAAAAGTTAAAAAGTGGTGAAAGAAATTTCAGATAAAAGAAGGTGACTGTTTATACTTTATAGTAATTATGGTGACATTACACAAACGTGCTAGGATCCTTAATGCCTTTCAAACGTGCAAGACCCTTCCTTTTTTTTATGGGTTTGGACGTTTGGTTATTTGATGCCAAACAATAGCTTGTACATAAGTAACTAATATGCAACGTTAAGATGTACAGCCGTGCAAAAAGTATGTCAAAGCACATGTTTTCGATTTCTCAAGCCATGCCCAGAATTTTGCTCAAGAAATGACTTGAACGATACACAAATATTTTGCTTCAGATTTTATGAATTGAAAATGCAGCATCGAATACATGAAACTCCCTCAACTATTAATCATAAATGTTTGGCCAATAGCCAGTTTAGCACCAAAACTTTGGTGTCAAAAACTAGTTTCCTATCTGTGTAAGATTTAAAAAAAAAGTGAGAAAAGTAAGGTAGCATCGACTTCTAAAACCTTTTGTATTGTGTTCTTCCAAAATGACTTTATGCTAAGGAAGAAAAGAAGAATAGAAGAATAGAGAAATATTAGTTAGATAGATCGATGTCTTACATGAGATGGTAAAGATAAGCTAGGAGATGAAGCCCTTCTACTTGGCATTGGTAGCTTCATTTGACTACAATTAACAATGAATAAAAGAAATAGAAGTACTGCGAAGAGAAGAGTTGGAGAAGACATGACCTTGACATTCTTTAGAGTAGAAAAAAAACTCTGGGCTTTGTGGCTTGATGTATTTAACCATAGAAAATTCCCTTCAACCAATGCAGCTCCTAGTGTCCAGGAAACATCACCTGGACCAAATACTATTTCTACATCACCTAGACACAGGCCATACTCAATTAATGATGCCATATAAGCCACCTGGAAACAAAACTGTCCCGCATAATTTGGATTGTCTGAAATATTGCTCGAGCTGGTCCATAAATTTGAACATATTTGCTTGCCTGACTCCCAAATTGCTGTTAAGTTGGCTTTTGGGCTCAACTTTAGCTTGTTGTAGACAAAAAAGAAACCAGATAAAGCATGGTAGCGCTTGATTTGGTGTGCAATAGCTGTTAAGTTAAGTATACCAGTGCCTGCAAGGTGAATAATGAAACAGAATAAGTTTCGGAGCCATCTTAGGAGAAAAAAACCCATAACAATCCCTCCCTCCTCTCCTATGTTATTTCCGTTGCCGTGGCAGAGTTTGGGGGTGGGGGTTGACAGTCATCCCGACCATACAGAAAAAGTGGTCTCTATGGCAATCATTAAAAGTTATACAATTTCACAGTATTATGTTTGGGAAGTAAAAAATTTACTATCAAATTTTCATAGATGAGATTTGTTCTTGGTTGTTTTCATTTTCAATTGGTGAGTTTTGTTTTCGGAAGATGAATCTAACTATATATAGCAACCAGACATAAAAAAAACTGCACATTTCTTAGTTCATTAAGTGATATCTGCATCCAACATTTGTTGTGCTAAAATCAGTTATAATTTTCAAGTAATATATGTTCTACAAACCTAACAAAGACTATGATGAGGAAAAAAATAATCAATCCTACAACAATTTAAGTTTGTATAAATTCAAAAGAGAAGTGCAATCCAAAAATATGATTATGCCCTTACCAATATCAGAAAACGAACCAGCTCGGGAATTTTTGCCAATGGTTGGAAGTAAGACGTTGAAATTGCTCGAGTTCATAGCAGCAGCAGTAGCTACTTTTTTGCATTGCTCCCAATCAGGTTCTCCAATAAGACTTAAAAAATTAAGTTCAGTTTTCTTGGTTGTGGTATAGTTCTGTACAAAAGTAGATATCAGACAAGGATGTCTAACTTGAGAAATATTTCTGGTTCTTTCCATGCTTTGATTGTTTTTTAGCATAACAACAGTCCTATCAAATGCTTCATTTAAGCCAAATGCGGGAAAAGAGTATGCAACAATCTGATGTTCAACCGAACCAATATTAGATCTCATCTCGTGCACTTCATCCACAACGCCATCTACTTCTGCCATGATCTGCAAAGACGAGCCACCCAAATCAAGAACTCCCAAAGTGGGAGAAGAATTGGGATTATAATTACCAAAGCTCCCCATTTTGTAATTCAAAGCAACCCAACCATAATAAGCTTCTTCCCTCCCATTCAAAACCCTAACCCAACTCTTCCTATACAAAAATGAGTGATCTTTGAGAACAGCCTCGACACCATCCAATACCCGGTCGGAATCATGGACCGCGAGCCTCCTTAGCCCAGCAGTAGCCAAAACAAAAACAGGAGTTTCACCATGCCTCTCATTCGGTACTAAATTTTCTGCCCACACAATCAAAGGCTCCAACTTTTGCCTCACACCTAAAGAATCATTAACAAATTTGTCTAATCCGGGTTCGGTTTGCAAACAGTGATATTGACAAGAATTTTTCCAAAGTGTAGAACCCCTTGTTTCATTGTCAGGATAAGAATGAATCAAAATTGGTAAATCCCTGTTTGTTACACTAACAGTGTTACCCTCAACCATCCACTCATACACATTCACGCGTGTCCCAGTGCTTCCACAATCAACAACTACAGTATAATACGACAACGTATTAAGTACTTTGTTATTTGACTCCAGATGAAAACCCAGTAACAATAACAGTGTTGTGATCAAAATTGATGCGCCGATTTTTAAAAGCCGTTTGTGGTTGGAGAATCGCTTATCTTTAAAAGTGGATTTGGGGATTTCCATTAAAAAAACGATCTGATATAAATCTTAGTGCATGATTACATTAAAGGGTGGGAGATGAATTTACCTTTAGATGATTAGGTTATGGTGTTGCGCTTGTTTCAGTGGCAACTCTCGTGCTCGCTCTGTCACTCACCGCGCGAGTCTCAGAAGATGGGATCGGTGTTGTAGGTGGAGAACAATGTAAAAAAACTTCTTATACAATGATTTGAATTAGTTAGTAAGTAGATCTATAAGGGGAAAATGTATGAAAAATCATGTATGAAAAATCCATAAATTTTATGCATTTTGCATGTAGACTTATAAACTATTTTTATTTATAGTTACCCCTTAAACTTTAAATATTGATGAAAATGGTACTTGCATTAAGTAAAATTAATAGCGATGAAAATCTAATTTATGCAATTCTGATCAACGCTTGCTAACTTACAATGTTGTAGTTTTATTGTTGTTGCGATTTCCTTTCCTTAGTGACCTCTTAACAATTTAATAATATATTTATACAATAAACAAGTTCTTAAAGTGATAAAGTTTCAGGGGTAATTAGAATAAGAAAAATAATTCATGGCAACTACTTGCAAAATACACAAGTTTATAGGGGTTTTATGCACTTTTCCCTATGTATAAATATAACCTTGTATGTATATAATAACAATAAATATAAAAAATTAGTTTATATATATCGGCTCAACTCATGAATCTAATGAGTCGAATTGTATTCAACTCAAGTTTGACTTGTTTATTTAACGAACTCAATTTTCAGCTCAAGTTCGACTCATTTGATTCATGAATCAAGTTTATCGAGTTAAATAATGAGTCGAGATTCAAACATAAACCGAATTGATTTAGTTCATTGTCAGGTGTACTTGTGATGAAACTATAATCATAAAATTATCATATACATATCATATTATTTAAGTAATAATTATTTTTATATATTAACTATTATAAAATATATAAAAATATAATTAAAATAAAAAAATCATTGAGTACCTGCACATACCCGTTACCCACACGGATATTCATAAATAGTGTTGTGAGTCACCCATCCCATTGACATCCCTAAATATTGTTACATCACGGTAATAAATTATGTTACTCACATGAAAGTTATATATCACCTGTAGTAATAAAATATTGATTAAATTACACTCATATTCCTGAGTTTTAGTGAGATTACATAAACCACCCATCACTTTTTTGTCCTTACACGAACCACTCCTAATTTTGTACATATGTTACACTACTACCCCTGCATGATATAAAAGTGTAATATTTTAAACAAAAAAACGTATGATGTGTTTAATTAATTAAATAAAATATTGTA